GTGACGCAATGAATAAACTGTAAAACAAATAACAGTTTGATATATCTCACTTCGCCTGTAATGAGTCAGTCATAAATTAGTTTCACTTTCTCAGTTGAAAAAATAAATGGACTTTTGAACACTATTGTACTTTTGAGGGTTTCTTTCTGTTTAGAAACTCGTTCGATCAATCACACTGTGGGTTATCATGGCAAATACATGTGTTGAGTGAAATTGAAGTGAAAAAAAAAAATGTGATTGTTGTTGGTGAAACTGAACTTTTTACTATTACTAAAAATAATGACATTTTTATGTTTAGGGTACCTACATTTTTGTGTCATAAAACATGCCTTTTGTTTGTCCAATAAATCCAATTAAGACCAGCAACAAATCAGAACACAACATGCTGTCTTCATATTTTTCTTGTACCTTTTGAGGCTTTGGGTTGAGAAATGATTGGCTCAACAGCTAAACAGTACAGTATTTAACCTGGGTTAGAACAGATTAGAATACAGTCTTACATTTAAAGCAAGACCGTTTCAGATTTTAGCTGAATTTATGTGAAATGCTACCTCCCCAAATTTAGTCCTGATTCTGGGCACCATCATGAGGCCAATCCCTGTGCTCCTCAGATTCCCAACAGGAGGCCAGTCCCTGTGCTCCTCAGAGTCCCAGTCAGTTCATATAGCACTAACTTGTCCTAAATGTACTTTAGTGTGAGGCCATGGAGAGACGTAACCTACAGAAAAATACAACTGCTGTCACAAAAAACCATAGCCAGCCCATCTTTTCCCTTCATAACACCATTTCAATACCACAGTGGGAAGGAGACTCCACTGCTCCTCGCCTTTTTCTGCTTTCTTTTCCCACTTCCTGATTAATCCAAAGGCACAACACCAGTGGACGACACATTACAAAGTTCACTCGCTAATAAACTTTTGCGCTGCACGCTACTTTTGTGCCCCCACGATCAGAAAAACACGGGACAAAGGAGAAACGAATACGAAGCAACTTGTCATTTTGGATTCTAATAACAGCCTGAATAGCATTGGGGAGTTTGCAACCGGATTGTGCGACGCTGTGCAGATGCCACTTGAAATAGCAGCATGGGCATAAGTCAAAGCAATGGGGGAAAAAAAAAAAAAAAAGTGAAATTGAATGGATTTTGGTATTTTTGAGGCCCCCCAAAAGACCCCAGCAGCAGGACCTTTTTGGGGGGCGATAATCCTTGGACGCGGAGTGTATGCGGCAAAGGGGAATTGCATTTTTCACAGTTGTTTCGAGGCCGGTAGGGGATCCGCCTGCAGTTCTTTGGGCAAGTCATAAACTATCGGCAAGAAACTCTTCACAGACACTTTGTTTTCTCAGCCTCCCGTGAACTTGGAGACCGGAATAAGAGGTAGAGCTGTTTTTTGTTGTTGTCTTTTTTCTCTTTTTTTAGCCAAGACCTCCTCCCGCGATTGGATAAGCTCTTTCAAATGGAGAGAACTTTGCAGGGCCAGGGTTTCCTTCAACAGATTTACGGTATACTGGAGTGGCGCGGCTGACAGTGCCACTTTTGTCTGGTGGGATTTCAATGCAGATCCGCGATATTGCGAAAGTTGAAAAGGTTTTTGGGAGACGTCGCCACAGGTATGCTTTAAGTAACTGACATCTGCAATATGCGCTGGGCTTATAGCTTCCCCATATGAACAAAGCTTAGACTAATACGCAGTGAATGGGCGGTACGTTTGCCAATATAAACATTTCAAAGAGATGACAAAGAGATCATGAAATGTAAAAGAACTGTTCAGTCTATGCAAGAGGTTAATAGTTCAGAGAAGGAACATCTTGTGGTTTCAAATGATTTGGATTACACAAAAGGTCAACACTGACTTGAGTCACAAGGGGCCAGTAAAGGTAACTTCATTCTCTCCTCTCTGCTTTAAGACTTTATTTGTAAGAGTGCATCAGATTTTTATTGATTATTATTATGTTTCTATTACTGTATGTTCAATTCATTCTTCCCCTCAACAAAACACCAGTAATGCATTTTGAATTTCAGTTTTAGAGAACGCATTTGCAAAAACAGATTTCTTTGTTTTGAAATTGGTTAGTTATTTTTTTCCAATATATCTTGAACATCTTCATATAACATACAATAACATATCTTGTTATTGGCAGTGCATTGAAAAGTATTTGCTCAAGAAGGGGGGGAAACTATATTTGTATCGCACTGAATTAGAGCTGTGATGTCAAAGAACTACTTGGAAAAAGGCAAATTGTCAGCCTTTCAATCATTGTACTCACTTTTCGAATGCTACTTATCTGTTTTTGCATAGTTTTGACTTATATCGAAGTAAAGTAGTTTTTGCGTTATTGTTTTTTCATAGTGAGTAGATTTCAGTGCAGTCCAGGAGAAACACAGAATTATCTTTTAAGATATAAATAATAATAATACAAAACACATTATGAAAATTGTTTGCCCTATTTGACCATTAAGTTGATTAGTGAATGTTGACTTTTCTTATTGCTATTTCATGTTTTAGAGTGTGAAATGAGATAAGACTTTATTGATATCACACTGGCACATTGATGTCACATTTGGCATGGATATAATCATTCAGATTTTGCAAAAGACAGAATTGCGCAAACATTGTAAAGGTTGAAAATATAGGCTGTACAGGATATATTACTTATTGTACAGTCTGACAGCAGTGAGGATAAAGGCCCTGCGGTAGCGGTCCTTCTAGCAATGAGGGCGCCTCAGTCTTCTACAGAAGGCGCTCCTCAGCTCCTCTACAGTCCTGTGCAGTGGGTGGGAGGTGTTGTCCATGATAGAGGTGACTTTCACTAGCACCCTCCTGTCCCTCACCTCCTCCACAGAGTCCAGTGGCAGCCCAGTGTGAAGCTGGCCCTCCTGACCAGCTTGTTCAGTCTGTTTCTGTCCCGCTCTGTGCTGTCCGGGGCCCAGCACACGGCGGCGTAGTGTATTCCAGAAGCTACCACAAAGTCATAAAACGTCCTGGGCAGAGGCCTGCTCACTCCGAAGGACCGCAGCCTCCTCAAAAGGCGGAGGCGACTTTTGCCCGTCTTGGTGTTATGGGATCAGTCCATTTTGTTGTTGTTAATGTACTATCTTAAGTTTAAAATATATAGTGAAACGAGTATGAAGGAAAAAAAAAATGCTTTCTACTTTTAACTCCCTATGCTCCCACCAGAGGGAGAGTCACATTTGTTTTGTTTGGTATTTACAAACATAGCCATGTAATTGGGAAATTTCTGAGGTGAAATTAAGGTATTTACAAACTGATTTATCCCTAAAACACTGTATGATGTCACAGTGATACAATGACATCATACTATTACAGGACTGAGGAGAACTTAAAGATACTGGACTTTTCCCAAATGGGGCACTCAGTTCTGCACTGATGCCGGGATATGACAGATGAGGACCATTGGAAATGTTGGACACGCTTCAGTAGCTTCAAGGGCACCTGTGATAACCCTGTGTGAATAACTACTTAACTGTTCTTTTGACTTTTTATACTTTCTTTGTTTACTTTTGGTGTCCAATTTCAGAACAGCCACCTTCATATTGCCACCATTTTTGATGACCCACAGACTCCTGTGTTCCCAATTAATATTTGTAATGCTACCTGTTGGCTTAATGAAATACAATCAACAGCCAAACCCCATAGATACAATATAGAATAGAGTTCCCTGGACATACAAATAGTGAAAAACATAAATGACGTATATATACATCAATAACAGTACATCAGTTAATAGTCCTGTCCTGGTAGATGTGGTACTCGTCAGAGCAGCTATTTTCTCTGTAATCCCCGGGCCAATACACATGAAACAAACAGTCACAACATTTGAGATGTTCTTTGTAAGCAAATATCAAACTATGGTCTCATTATTTTCTCATAAAAGGTGTCTGGAAGTGAAGAAAATATTCAGAAACGTATGCATGATGTTGGCCAGCAGAAAGCACATGAGAATACTGAATACTGGCCGGATTGTGAATCCGATCACTATTATCTAATATAGTATAGACTAAAAAAAGATATTAAGTTATTTAAATGTATTGACTCCAAAGCAGTGGTGTCAAACTCATTTTGGTCAGGGTCTAATTAAAAGAATATCAGCTTCCCGGGTTCTGAAAGTATACAGTTGCTTGAAGCTTCTCTTTGCATCTATGAATATTTGTAAGCATTTTTTTACATTATGAAGGTATTTTTACAAAATTGTTTTACTTTAATTTTAACCTGAGTTTGGAAATTACTTTTTAGTAGATTTATTTTTCATTTTTTAAACAGAACTTACTATATGTTTGGACTGAACCAAACAGGGGCGGAGTTAAGGATTTACATTTCTAAACAAACAATTTAACAATTGGTGCAGGGTTTTCTGAAGAAAACAACCATGTATTATTATCTATTCTAAAATTTAGAAGAATCAACAATAAATGATTGTCTTCTTGAGAAAATTTGCTTTGAAATTATGTACAAGTATATGTTTTGCGGAAAATGTCAACACATTTGGCAATTCAAATCCAAATACCGTCATCTGGAGAAATCCCGCAGTTACCAATGCAATTAAAGACTCCGTAACGACCTGATTTTTGGGCTTTTCCCCACGCTGGTCTCCCGGTGGACTTGTTAGCCGCACGCGCAGACGGGAACAGCCGCGGCGAGCTCATCACCCGCTGGCCGCGCCGTCTAGACTCCGCTGTTGGAAGCCAATCGAAGAGATCAAAACTATTTAACACTTCACTGATGTTGATCAAAGCCCCAGCAGCTCACATTTGGCATTCGGGGTTGGCGTATCGCACAATTAATTGGGGACCTATTGGGAAGAAGAACGATGGGCATAATATAGCGAGGAAATGCTAAGAGACTCGGCTACGACAGCGTTTCACTCATTATTTATACACTGCTTTGTCAATGCTTTGATTCGGGGAAAGGGTGTTGAATTAGTGATTGCTTGATGGAAAGCTTGAGGTCTTTCCGTGTTTGCTGAATAGTTGCGTGTTTATGGCGGGACCCTGCGGCTTTGATACCAATCAGGATATCCACGGAGCACCGAGCCCTCATCAACCTCACCGCACCTGCAATCAGCCCGCCAACCCGGCCTGCGACCAATCAGCAGCGAGTGGAAGGAGACGAGAGAAAGGCGTGAGGCACGGAGGGAGTGGTGTGGGAGTGTGGTGATCATTCAGAGATACAGCTGTGCTTGAAAGTTTACACACCCAGGCAGAAAGGGCACTGTTGTGGTCATACTTTCAAGATTATTATTTTTAATACAAGGGTAACTCCCAGGATTCTAAAACTACTAGAACTCCCAAAGCAGTCAATGGAATTCTGAAAAATCCAATAAAGCTGTTTCAGTTGCCCACTAGTATTATTGAAATTAACCAATGTGTATGGTTCTTACCTTTGCCATGTGCACAAATTGATTAATGTAACTTGAAATACAGAAAAAAGTAATAACGCTTCCAAAACTAAAATTTGTCAGATTGACTGCTCTGGAGTTCTAGTGTTAATGTGAACACTGAAAACATGGACAATAGGTCTGAATGTAATGAATGAGTGAATGGATGGAGCTGATTAGAGGCTTTGATGCACCAGTGTGTTCAGTCTCGCTTCTGTCATCACCGTGTGGACAGAATGAAAAATTATCTGAACTCTGCACATTGTAAAGCGCTTAGAGTGACTTTGGTCTGTTAAATGCGCTATATAAATAAACATTACTTACTTATTTTTAGCATTGTCTGTTTCATGAGGCCCCTGTGAACTGGTCGACCTTGGCCCTGACCCATGGGACCCCCTCCAGTCCACCTCTGGCCATTCTAAGGCAATCGCAAAAGTGAAGTTCATGCAAGATGTAAGGTAGCCCAGGAATTCTCATGAACAGTAGGTTTTTTACCATCAGAACTTCCTACACTACACCCACATGAGACTCCAAGCAGTTAAAGGAGAACACACGCTGAGAACAGGGGGATGGAGACTTCTGATCAGGGTCAGAAAAGTTTCTTTTGTATTATCACTTAGAAGATATTAATGATATCATAATAATATACATTATTTGACAAAACTCTTTCACACAACCTCTAATAATGAGAAAAAAGTGTGTTTTTGTGTTAAATATGCCTCCCTCCATAAAACCACGACAAATGAATTTTGTGGAAAACTAAGAAAACTATTTTGTGACTAAGAAATGCAAAACAGAGTCACCCTCCTTTAAGGGTCATGCCACAAAAAAGAAAACTTCTGCCCAACATGTACCTAATTTAAGTTATCTGGTTCTTCTAAACTAGAGGTCAGGAACCTTTTGGGACTTTTTTACTCATTTGAAAAAAGTGTGAATGTGTGATTTTTTTAAAAAAACAAGATCAACAACATTTAGTGTTAGTCTCAGACTGTATTATTGTCTTACATTATGCCAACGAGGATTTGTCTGAGAGCCAGACACAATCATCAGAAGAGCCACACCTGTCATAGGTTCCTGACCCATGTTCGCATTGTATATAAGCAGCAGCAACATTTTAAAAGAAAGTAAATGTTGTCCACATACAGGCCGCACTCTTATATAAGCCACGACTCCGTGAAGCTGATCAAGTTCGCGGACGACACCACCCTCATTGGACTCATCTCCAACAACGATGAGTCCGCCTACAGGAGGGAGGTGGACCGGCTGGTGTCCTGGTGCAGTGGTAACAACCTGGAGCTGAACGCCCAGAAGACAGTGGAGATGATTGTGGACTTCAGGAAGAGCACTGTCCCCCCGCCCCCACCCTCCGTGATGGACTCCCCCATCACCTCTGTGGAGTCCTTCCGTTTCCTGGGCACCACCATCACCCAGGACCTCAAGTGGGAGCCGACCATCAGCTCCCTCATCAAGAAGGCCCAGCAGAGGATGTACTTCCTGCGGCAGCTCAGGAAAGCCAAGCTGCCTGCACAGATGTTGGTGCAGTTCTACACGGCCATCATCGAGTCCATCCTCACCTCCTCCATCACCGTGTGGTTCGCTGGAGCCACAGTCAGGGACAAACAGAGACTACAGCGCATTGTGCGCTCTGCAGAGGAAGTGATCGGCCGCAGCCTTCCATCGCTGCAGGACCTGTACGTCGCCCGAGCTCGAGGCCGGGCTGGTCGTATCACAGCCGACCCCTCTCACCCTGCACATGGACTATTCCAACCACTCCCCTCAGGCAGGAGGCTGCGGTCCATCAGGACTAGAACCTCCCGCCACAAGAACAGTTTCTTCCCCTCTGCTGTTGGACTCTTGAACACTTCTTAACCTGTCCCCCCGCCCTTTATAAAGTCACTTTACTGCCCATCATACGTCACTTTACTTCACTGTACTGCTGTCACCTTACATTGTGTGCACCATGTGCACTTGTATATTGTAAATAGTAACTGTAACTCTATTTTAAATTTAAATTTATTCTTTAGAAGTGTTTTTTATTCTTATTTTTATTATCTCTTTTTGACTGTTGCACTGAGCCAAAGCAATTTCCAAGTCTGTGACCTCCCGTTACTTACGTTGGCAATAAAAATGATTCTGATTCTGATTCTTCATGTTGAAATGTAGACGATAGACAAGTGTTTCAATTGGTCACAACAAGACTCATTCAACTTAATCTACTTTGAAAATAAACCATGTATTCTATAGCTACTAAAACTTGATGGAGTCAAAATTATAAGTTTATAAACATGCTCTGACAGCAGCCCAATTCTACCACATTAAAAACACATAAGCTGCAGGGTTCAATAAAGCAGAAAAAGGCAGCGGCTTATAGTCCTGAAATTATTAAGGCAAAGCAAGTTTATTTGTATAGCACAATTCATACACAAGGCAACTCAAAGTACTGAACAAAACAAGAATAAATAATCACAGTACATTAAAAAGAAAGATAAAAATATAAAATCCCTCAGTTGTAGCACAGCTAAACAGATTTAAACATTGTCAGAGAAGAGGCCTGTCTCACATCTTCAGGAAGATTGTTCCGGATTTAAGCAGCATGAATCTGAAAAGCAGCCTCCCCATGTTTAGTTCTGACTCTGGACACTAACAGGAGTCCAGGCCCTGTGCTCCTCAGAGTCCGGGCTGGTTCATATGGGACTAACATGTCACTAATATATTTTGGTGCGAGGCCATGGAAAGACTTGTACACATCAGAGCTGTTTTAAAGTCTATTCTAAAGTATTCTAAAGATACAAACTATAGTAATGAGAGATAGTGATGTTTTGACTATATGATTGAAAATGTTTTAAAACTGAACTGTAAAGGCACTCTTGATGTCCACATTATCTCACATTTTCAGGAAGACTGATCCAGATTATAGCTGCATTAATCTGAAATGCAGCCTTCCCATGTCTAGTTCTCACACAATCAGGCCAGTCCCTATTGCTACTGTATGTTCCTCAGATTCCGAGTTGGTTCATATGGCACAAACATGTCACTTACTTTGGTGCGAGGCCATGGAGAGACTTGTGACAATCAAAGCTGTTTTAAAGTCTATTCTCTGAGCCACAGGAAGCCAGTGCGGAGACCTGAGAACTAGACTAATGTGGTCCTGCTTCCTGCTGTTTGTCAGGACTTTCTGCTAAAACCTGGGCATGTCATATTGTCATTTCGTAAGACTAATGCTTATTGTGCAATGTCCCTGATCAAATAAACACATTCAAATTCATATTCAAATCTACTAAGAAGCCAAGATGAATCCTCCTACACAAACATGTAGCTAGTTTGTTTGCCTCTTTTTTTAATTTCTGTCCATGCTTTATTCCCACTTTTCCTGACAGCACTGACTAAATCCTTGGGGCATATTTTGTGCAGCATGTGTATAGAGAAACAGGCTCTCTAAAGACACCGGGCCGCTGGTTCTTCCATTTTCTTTGGGAGATAATCCTTGGCGGTAATCCATTGTGTCAACAGACTTCTGCCGAGCTTATTGCCTCCCGAGTTTTTTTCTTCTTCTACAGGGGAGTCTTAAAATACAAGATTGAAGTTTTCCATCTCGAGAAACAACACGCTTCTATGGCTCCAGCACTTCCAGACTCGAGTGACATTTCGGGGCAAAGTGACATTTATGGTTGGTAAAATGTCAACATATGTTTGTCTATGGAAAAGATAGAAAAAAAAAAGTTTATGCACAACAACAGTTCTGGGTGTTGTCTGCATAACAAAAGCAAGCATATTAGAATGAGTGTTCACTTTTTCTGGCCAGAAATTCTCAAAATCCTAACTTTTGTGTGTGATAATCAATCCCCGGTGATCCAAGATGGCGCCCTATTCAAAGAAATGGCATGTATTCAGTAGCGCATGGGACTTCACAGAGACCGAGAGATTAGCAGAACTCGCCTATATTTGGGCATCGTCTGGTCCTCCCGGTTCTGCGCAGTGGACGAGCTCCCATGATGCGTTGCGCCAAACCGGCCGCGCTTTGACCAATCAGAGCTGCTCAAAAACAGCAGCAGAGCGGAGTCAGAGTGGGAAGGAAAGGAGTAGAGTTTTTGGCAGTAAAGTGTGGATTTAAATTAACAGAAAGATTTAAGAAGAAGAAAAGTTCAGGATGCCAAGGGACACTAAAATCCCCACAAAAACTGATCTTTATGAAAGCTGTAGGTTCTCTGTCAGCTGAGGTTGAGCTGTTTTAATTTACATTGAGTTCTATGGGACTTTTTTCTGGGTTGCCCGCGTGAATTTAGTTTGCAGTACCACGGGCACCCCCTGTGCCCACGGGTGAGACAGCTGTAAACTGGTAATCCATGGTGATAGTAAGTAGTCCAAACTGGAAAGAGTAAGTGTAACATGCTGCCTTCGTCTTAATATGAGAAAACATGTTATGTGTCACATTTTCTGGACAACTGTTCCAGGTTTAATCAACATTTGCGAAGATTCGGCCAAGTCAGTGCTTTTCAAATCATTTCTCGAACCTTTCACTTTATTAGACATACACACACACTCTGTAGCTCTTATGACAACACTGTAAGTCAATAGGAGCCAGAGAAAGTTGGAGCAAAACTTCATCCATGAGCATTTCTCTGTTGGGCTTCATTGAGCATCTGCCCATTTGTACACAGCCGATTGTGGTCCAAAGAAAGACCCGAGAATCATCTGATGAAGGCACTAATGGCCGTAATGTAGTTAAATAAATAATATTTTGAACATTTATTTTGAGTGATGCTGAGTGTGTAAAACTAATAAGACCACAATATGCTGACTTCCTGAAAACCTCTTATCTTTGCATACTTCTAAGAAAGAGCCCTGTGATTCGCTAATGGACGCTTTGAACGGGGAACTGATTGGTTAAGTGAGGGTGGTCCGCTCTCCAAACCATTGGATTTTTTCCAATATAGTTCAATATTTGGGGTTTGAAAGTTAAGTACACCAGCTTTAACAAACTTCAAACACTTAGCCACGCGTCTGATGGCCTTTTCCTTTTTAAACGATCTCCTTACAGAAACATTTCCACGGTTATACCTCGGGAAAAGGAAATATCAGCCACCTCTGCTCTTCCCACAACACTACCCCCAGCTCCAATTTATATTTGAATAGACAAAACCCCAACCAGAGCCTATACTGCAGCCGCCAACTCTGCGTTGATACTGGAATTCCACTGTGAGTTTGATAAAATAAACCATCCTGGGCTTAGATGTTGTACAAATAAGCGCTGGGCTGTGCTTTGGCTGGAGGGCAGACTAGCTCCTCCATTGTAAGCGTTTATTCTCGTTTCCTTCGCTGATTAAAACAAGGTTAAAACACAGCAGACTTATTACATTCTGCAGGAAAAATCGGCCTAATCCCTGGAAAATAATCAACCAAATGATTTTGATTGGCAAAGGCCGTGCAAATAAGAGGAGGATTTTACAAGAGAGAGGTTCTGTAGAGTTTGAAAGTCGGGGAACCGCGAGCACAAGAAAGAGCAGCAGCGGTGCATGCGTGTCAGTGCTAACGAGGGGAATTAATTATGGCCATTAGCGAACGCAGATGTGACCCAATAAAAACATATTGTTTAGTAAGAAATGTGTGGGAATTATCAGCTTTTGTGATAGGGAATTGGTAAGACAAAGAGGTAATGGAGAAGTTTGAGTGATGGTTACGTTTTTTTGTGGCCATACCTAAATGTGGAAGCGAGATCCCGCCTGACCTCTGAAGCTAAGCAGGACAGTGCCGGGTCAGTAGTAGTTTATCTAGAGTATGGAGTGAGGGAATAATGACATGTGAAGCATCTTTGAGTGTCCAGAAAAGTGGCATATATGACCGATGCATTATTATTACTTTTAAAAATATAAATTAGTATTGTAATAAAATGCATCTACTGTAGTTCCTTTCTCTCAAAACAGTCAGCTTTTTCAGACAGAAAATTGAACAAGAGAAGACCACCCTCACTCAGCCAATTAGCTCTCAGCCCAAAGCATCAAATAGCGACTGAAGGATTTTTCTAATTTCTCACTTTTCTGTTGGGACAAACAAAGTCTGGTGTATCTCTCCATAGTCTGCTGTCCCCATGACCCGGCATCAGATGAAGCGGAAGAAAAGGACGGATGGCATTACAAATAGCTCCAGCGAGATCTGTTCCACCGAACCACATCATTTGAGTCATAAATGAAGCTCATGGTTGAAAAGATAATTTTCTTTATTTCGTCAGTAACATACTAAAAGCCCAATTGGACAAAATGACAGAAAACAACATTTATCTCAAATTAAAACCAAGGACCTTCACATTGTGGCTATTACGCACCAGAGCTAATAGAAGCGCTGTGCTCGCGGTTCAAAGAGGTCGCGAGAAAATGCTGCGTGAGTAAATGAGAGTCGGCTCAAGATGTTTACGTTCCATTAGCGATCTCTGGAGAGCCGCATACTGCATTAGGATCATGGTAAAGGGAGTGTTTCATCTCCTTCGCTTACATCCACACTGGAGAGCACGGAGTAATGTTGCGTTCGGTAATGATGAGCAGAGGGGACAGTTTAGAGAGCGCACTTCAGATCTCACCAATCATTACTCACCATAAATAGTTTGTGGAGAGAGGGATGCTGTTGTGTCACATGGATCAGCTTTTGGACCTGCTTTAGAAGCCACTCACCCGTTCAGGAATATTTACATTAATTATAAAGGTTTAGATTAAGAGATCCTATATTTGTCCAACAATGGGAATACAATCTCTAACTTTAGCATAAAAAGAAGCAAGTATAAAATCTATAGCTTTAGCCTAAAAAGGAAGCCATCTGA